ACAGAGAATATGAGCTGCGCTCCCCGCAAGTTTCTTTTTTACTTTGTTCATGTTTTTTTCGTTGTTGTTCACTCTGGAATAATAAGTACTCTTTCTTTCTTTACGTAATGGCCGGCTGCTGCACACCGTCATGAGGGAAGTGTTTTCCCTCTTGATTGCTTCTGTTGCTTACATGCGATGGCGGCCCTGCGGCTGTGCGTCCCACGGACTGCACGAAAGGAGGACTGGAGAGACAGGCCGGATGCCGCATGAAATGTGAGGGTTGCTGCATGGGCTGGTGGAACAGTACGATCCTTTTTCTTGTGAAGGCAGTGTACGCATGTATATATAGGCACAGAACTGCTGTGCTGCATGGCGTATGAAATGAAAACTCTTCTGAGGTATGTTTTTTTTTTTTGCGAAGGGACTCCTGTTGGACACCCAACTTCTTTTTTTATTGTTTTGGTATTGCTTTTTTGCTTCTGATTTGCAGGTCGGTGTGCGTGCTTCTGCGGGAATGCTGTCATTTGTTACGGTGCGCGTGGCTGTGTGACTTGTCTCTCCTTTTTTTGCTTTCACTCTGCGTTGACGTGTTGTTAGTTTGTGCTGAAGGCTGCACGCAAGTGACAGGAGTGATGGCGATGATGATGACTGGCCGTGTGCTGCTGGTGTGTGCCCTCTGCGTGCTGTGCTGCGGTTCTGGCGGGGCTTTGCTGAGGATGAGTCGCCTGCTGTCGGTGCTTCTGCGGATGCTGGTGGACGTCAGCCGAAACCACCACAACTTGAGACGACACCGCCAAACGTCCAAGGCCCAAAAATACCATCAGCAGACGTTTGTGTGCCAATGCTCGAGGTTGCCGATACATCCCTGGAAGGAACCGATGGAGATGATGTCGAAGAAGAGCAATCGGCAGGAAAGGGTAATGAAGGAATTCGAGCACAAGAACAACACGGTGAACACGATAGACAAAATGACCAACATGACGGGGAAAAGGAACGAAATGCCGATGATCCAAAATCAGGAAAGGAAGGAGAAGCGCCTGGAAAAGACCCAGCGACAGAGAGAGGCTTGCAGTCAACTCCCGAGGACGGCTCACCGTCACATTTACCGGATGATGCTCGAAGAGGCAATGCGCAGGAACCCCGAAATGCGAGTCCGCCAGGAAATGATGATCGTAGACAAGATTCATTAAATGTGTCGCAGGATGCACCAGTCAAATTTGCACCGGATACAATTTTGTCATCCTCCTCCACAGGTGGCCACGGTGCTGACAACAGTCACGGGAACCAAAGGGAAGCGAAGAAGGCTCAACAGACTTCCGCCGGAGTAAAACAACACGACGCGGAGTTTGGCGAAAAATCTGCTGCTCCGACAAAAGGCGAAGGAGAATCACAGTTGCCAGTCACAGCCGATGAAACGAAGAGCAATACGACCATGCCTGGTATCAGCGTCAGCAGCTCTGCAGCAACTACGGCCGTGCGGTCTGAAGCTAGCACAGAAGGCAGCCGGACAATCAGTGATTTGAGCCCATCTTCCTCTGAGGACGATGCACGACCCAAAAAACACTCCCGATGGTGATGACGCATCACACATCACAGAAGATGTGGTTTCTCTGAGTGCAGGAACCCCAATGCCACACCAAACCGCCGCTCAAACAGATGCTACGGCGACGCCTGGCGACAGTGACGGCAGCATCACTGTCTCCCACACCACATTCCTTCTTTTGCTTCTTCTTGTTGCGTGTGCTGCTGCGGGCACTGCTGCGGTGGTGGCCGCGTGAGAGTGAGTGTGAGAGAGCCGTGTACCGCCCGCACACACACTCTTCCTTCTCTCTCTCTGTGTGTGTGTCCCCTTGCATGGACTCTCGCCCTCACCTCACCCCACGAAGCACACACATAATGTGCCCATTGTATATATGCATGCACACCCATGCAGGCCCGTTGGTGCCCTCTTTTGCACGACACGCACCGCTGCCGTCCTGCCTGGCTACATGGGCGGAGCACCGTAACTGTTTCTGTTTTGTTTTCATTGCATTGAGTGGGCGACCTCTCTCTCTCCCTATTGGGCTTTACGGGAGCAATGAGAGTGTGTGTGCGCTGGTCGTCCCACCTGTTGCTGCGCGTCCCCACTGCTGGGTGGACGCCCCCACGCTTCGGCTTTTTGTTGTTGGTATTTTTTATCCTCTGCCTGTGTTGTGGCTGAGTGTACCCATCTTACTTTTTTGATTTCTGGTTTGCTTTGACTGCGGACGCCTGATTCCTCTTTGTGTGTCCTCACATTGTTTTCTTTCTCCTTCTAAAAGTGTCAGCCACTCGTATCCTTGTAAAGCCACCACGTCCTTTCTTTTCCACATACGCCATGCGTCAGTTGATCCACGTCACCCCACGGTCTGCGGCGCTGCTGGAGCTGCTTGTGATGATGCCTGCGACGGGAATTGCCAGCGAGTGCTTTGCTGCCACCCTGACGTATCCTTTGCTTCCTTGACGATGTAGGGCGTACCGACGG